TCTGGTCCATCGCGAGTCGGGACTAATACTAATACTGAAGAACACACATACATGATTCATTGACCCAGTTAGGGAAGTCTTGAATACTTCCTTCCAAGGTTTGGCTTCAGGGGATTTCTCCGCAACAGCTGGCCATGAACCACCAAAGGCGATCCTCTTCAGTTGTCTTCCTTCCCTCGCAGTGCTACAGCCTCTGGGACTCCGGACGGTCCTGGCGCCTCTTCATTGACGGCAGCCTGTCTGACGACACTGCGTGCATGTTCGTGACGTGGGATCAACTCTGGTACACCTTTGAGAGAAGTGCCAAACCTATCTGGGCCCATCTGGAATCCAACCCCTTTCTCCGGGCCTAAAAAATTCCTTGGGGGTTGCATCTGCCAAACCGGCCTTGGAGTGCTGAGTGATCTCCAGCAAACCTGGAATCACGAGGAAACCGCGGAAAAAAACATCCTGGGAGAGAAAAACCAGTTGGTTTTGAGTGAAACAATAAAATCAAAACGTCGGATAATTCAACAAACCCGGGCTCTGGGTAAGAAACATGTGTCCAACATACGTGTTTCGTCAAATGACATCAATGGGGCAACAACCTTTTTGTAGTAAAACATTGGGCCAGTAACTATGCCGGTGGAGGACATAACGGCTGGGATGACCATGTAAAACGAAAAACATCCAAAACCCATGTTGCATAAGCCGTCCTTTTAGTTGGTGAAGTTGGTGTCCTTTTGCCTTGGATCAAAAAAATGCTATACATGACGAATGCAACAAACAACAATTACATTTTCAAGGCCCAACCAAACGTGACAAGGCTCTGGAACCTTTCTTTGATTTTTGTGGCGGGCCCGCAAAACAACACTAAAACGTGTTGCCATCAACTGGCCGAACCGAACCATCCAACTTGTTGACAGGAAGAAAAGTTGCTGTATGTATGCGAGTGTTGTCTTAAACGGATAGATTGGCATCTCCATGAACTTGCCGCCTTGGCTTTCATTCAAAGAGGAAACTCCATGCCAGTGCTGCTGAAACTTAATGTTTTTGAAGTGAGCCACATCTGCGCCCGGCAAGTGGTGATGCTGGTTTTCATTAGAATTTTAAGTGGGAAAAACTCCGGACTGTTCGAGTGGCCCCGATCCGAACATGAAGGAAAACACGATGGTCGCTCACGGTGGTCGCCTGTCTCTGAAGAGCACCCGCTATCGCTGAAGAGGGTGAAGGTAGCCACAGGCCACTGAGGCGAAGAAGCGTCGGCGCACGATGAATTCGGATCCTTTGGAGCCCTGACGGTGAGACGGTGAGGTGCCTGGGTTGACCTTGTTGATAGCTATGTCCGGCCGGGAACTTGCTTCGTGGTTGACGTGTTCATTCCCAACAGCTGTGGCTGAGAAAGGGAAAGTCGGAGAGAACATCGCTGCAGCACGGAAAGCTGTGCTGGATGTGCTGGTTTTTGCTGCTTCAGAGTGGAGCGCAGTGCACGTGAGGCATAAGATTATGCCATGCATGTCTCAAAGATTACACGGCGAAATTGCGAATGGCTGATGATAAATTACTTGATTTTGCTCGTGGTGAGAGTGTGGTGCTGACTCTTCGGTCACCTCGACGTCCACTTGCCAGTTGCACGTCTTCCTCCTGGATGCGCGTACCGAAATCCTTGAAGAAGATTTGTAGGCATTGCAGGGCTGTAGTTCGCCTGCTCCAACCTTGATCAAATCTTTGCAAGGCTCTCTTGGATGGTGGCGATCTCAAGAGCCGCCCGGTCGCCCTTGCCTGAATGCGCTCTTGCTCGACGATCGCAATGGCCTCTGGGTGGGTCCATCAGTCTGAAGCGATCAGTGTTGGTGCGCGTGCTGGTTCCCTGTCAAGGGTCGTAGCGGTCGCCTGCTTCTTGAGACTTGCCAGGGCCATTGACAAGCTTGCGAACATCTAGCGTGGAAGAAGGTTTGGGATATTCTTGACGTTGCTGCTGATCCATCTGGTCACCCTTCTCTTGCGATCCAATTTAATGATTGCTGCTCTTCGTCCTCACATTCTGCTCTTCATCCTCACATTGAGCTTCACTTTGGAGGCGCCCTTCTTGAGGAACTTGCGTTGAACTTGCAGGTGAGCTTCACCGGGTGGAGCCTGTGTGCGCCGTAGTCGTCCATGGAGAAGGTGAAAAAGAAATCTGGCAATTGCCGGACGTAGAAGAGGTTGGTGCTTGCATGAACCCCGGTACATGGCTTCAGCAGCTGCTTGATGATCACTCCTTGATCCCATTCCTTTCCAAGGTGCCGCCAGGCGTATTACACTGGACGACCGGGTTGTGAACTTGTGGGAGCAGTGGCCCCGTTGGCGGCGTAGATGGCACTGGGTGTCTGACCCTCATCAAGATGTACTGCTCCTCCCACGACCCCATCATAGGTCAAGCGCGGCAGCATCAAAGCTCCACCATGTCGTCCTTGTCCTCTTGCCATGAGCAAGGCTTCTGCCCAGGAACCAAATCGCGGCTCCGCGCCGACTGTTTCAGTAGACAATTCCCAGAGCATGAGCACGCCTTTTTCACTCCACGTGAGCCGGGCCTGCAAAAAACCCGGTGTCTTCCTCACTTTAGACATGGATAACTGCGGCAATTCTAGAGCCGGCTACCACATCTAAGGAAGGCAGCCTGAGCGCAAATTACCCATTCCTGATTGAGGAAGGTTGTGACAAGAATTAACAATACAGGGCATCCATGTCTTGTAATTGGAATTAAAACAGTTAACACCCTTCTGTGAGTATCAACTTGAAGGCAAGTCTGGTGCCAGCAGCGGTAATTCTAGCTCCAATAGTGTGAAGTCGTTGCAGTTAAAAGGCTCCTTGGACTTGCTTTGAATACATGAATTAGCATGGAATAATAAGATAGGTCCTCATTTCTATTGATTGTTTCTAGAGCTGCGGTAATGGTTGATCATTGGGGGCATTCGTCTTTAACGTTCAAAGGTGAAACTCTCGGGTTTGTTAAAGACGGATTGCTGCGAAAGCATTTGCCGAGGATGTTCTCTTTGATCAAGAATGCAAGTTAGGAGATCGAAGACGATCAACTACCTATAGTCGTAACTGTAAACCGTTCCAACTGGCGATTGGAGGTTGTGGGTTTGGAAGTCCTCAACCTGTAGGATTGTTTCAACGGTGCGAATTGCTCTTAGCTTGGAGCCCATCGCCAGATTGGAGGCCATCTATATAGTAGGTTGGAGGCCATCGCTAGTAGGTTGGAGACCATTGCTACTAGTAACGATCACGCCCCCGATGGTCTAAGCTTCCGGACCCCAGACTGCAGAACACACCACCTGGACAAAGACCGGAGGCCAAACTTCCAGGTCTTCAAACGCATTATGATACCTGTGGATGCCACATGTTGGTGCCATGGGCACAAGTGTTCATAACATGCGAGGAGATTAAGGCTACCTGGATACATAGTTGGAAGAACGACAGATCAGTGTGCATATATGATATGATGAAGATCCAGCCTGGAGTTCTGTCCTTAAAAAAGTTTGGCGGCTCTCGCGGTGTGTGATGCAGTACCATGCAGTGCCTCCGGGTCCAAGTGCCATCTTCAAAGACCTGATGGTCTCATTGGCTGGTTGCCATCGTTTTGGAGGCTCGTCTTGAAGGAAAGGTGGTAGAACTGGTAGAACAATGGAGATGACCAATGGAGATGACTGCTAGACTTTGGGAACTGCTGCAATCCATCTTCGTGAGGCTTTCTCGTCTCAAAGAACAACACATCTCATCAACACAACTGCAAATGTGCCTCCAGCCACCCAGAGCGGGCACCTGCAGCGCTCTGAAGGTTTCTTAAATCAATTGCTCACAAAGAGATGGGCATGACATCAGTTGACGTAGTTTCTTCGATTCTTGTTGCTCCCCGCAGCACCCATCAATCAGTCAAACATTGTCAATCGGTGAAACATGTCAATGAGTGTTGTGACTTTCCTCTGCGACGGAAGCCCATCTGACATGACCGGAATCTCCGCTAGCACTCCACCCGATTTGGAGCTAAAATGAACTGAACAGAACATACCATCTCGGAGGAATACCGTGACTGATGAACAGAATAGCAAGCAATGGAACTCTTTGTTGTTCCTCAGCTTCCTTTTCAACGGGAAAATGGATCAGGAAAGGGTACCGCATAGCTGGTAAGGTCTTCATGTGCAAGCCACAGCGGAAAGCCCTGCGTTTGGCACGGCAAACCCTGGAAGACACCGCAACCCTCTAGCCTTCCATTGGACCGCGCCGCTTACGCCGATGTGTTTAACACATGGCGACGACGAGACAGCGCTGACCGCTGCAGGACTTCGGTGCTTCGAAAGAGAGTCGCTCTTGTCCTTGCTGTTCTGGAAGGGAAACATGACTGTGAACGCACGCCCCCTGGTTTCCAACGTTCTTTGGCTGTGGAATGCTGCTTTGGCTTCTTGGACTGGCTTTGAAACTCTTTGCAGCTGGACAATGGCTCGCCTAAACGCAAGAGCTCACCTACTTGCGAGAACGGACTGTTCAAAGCCAAAAGTCTTTGGATCAAACGCGACTCTTACTCGCAGGTCGGAAAGAATTTCTACATAAAATATTCAGTACACACACCAGTGATCTCGACATGATGGACTGCCTCTTTTGGTCAGCTGACTTTTGCGATGTTCTAAGAACTTCCAGCCGATGTTTCTTTTTCCGCGCGCGCGACCATCACCCTGGTGGCTCTCAAAAGGACTACTAGTAGCTACTGGCTCCCAGTAGTAATGCCATTATTACTAGTAGCGATGCCAGTAGCGTCCTTGCTCCTACCCCGCGCGCGCGGGCGCGAAAAGGTCCTAGTAGCTTTTTGTTCCAATTCCAATTACATTGTATTTAATTTTAACATGTTAGTTCCATTTCTAATTCTTGTTTCTAATAGCTTCTTGCTCCTAGTAGTACGGCCAGGAGCCCCTAGTAGTGTCCTTGTTCCGTTCGTAGCGCTAACTTCGCCGCTCCGCCGCCGGTCTCGTGGGTCTCCACACCGCTCGCCGCCAGCGCTGCGGTGATGCTGCAGGGCCCGGGGATGCTGGAGACCTGGGAGAGACAAACGAAGGCACCGAAGAGGTTTGCGTGTTTGTGGTTCGGTGTGGATCCATTTTTGGAAATGCGATGGTACGGTGTTTAACGTGCGGCGTTCTTTTTATGGTTTTGACTTCGGTTTTCCCAAGTCTTTTTCTATTTTGCGATCCAGCTGTTGTAGCTTTGTAAGATGTTCTCAGGTGTTTTGTTTGTGCAACTTCAACGCCCAAACGATCGCCCAGTGACTGAGATGCCTTCGGCATGAGCAGCTTTGATGAGCCTGACCCATGGGGTGACTAGCTCTTGTGTTTCAAGGACCTTTGGATTCTTCCTAGATTGTAAGAACTGACCTTCAAAGGATCTTCTGCCTATGGAAGAAACTTGCTCGCTAATCTGCTGCATTATGCAGCTAAATGAGACGGCACAAAATCACCAAAGAACTGGGACGAAACTCATCCCAAGCAACAAAGGAAAGAAGTACATGATTCACATGATGTTCTTCCATGTTCTTCCCCTCGTGGTGATCATTGAGTGCTTGCGCGCCAGATTCACTTTGCTGCCAACAATCAACAACGTTTTGAAGCACCTCTCCGACATCTGTGCTATCATTGCTGTTGCCATTCTTCGGCTTCCGTGAAGGTTTTACTGCCCTTGATGGCCCTTGTCACGCCTGGCACCCACATCGCAAATGCCCACGGTACCGGCTCGAGTCGTAATGGCGACCTAGGTCACACCGGGAGCCATTCGGAGGGGGCCAGGAAAGTGCTTCGTCTGGAACGATCGAGGTCACCAAACCGAACGAGCAGCTCCGACGGGCCCGGGGGCACCCAGAAACGGCCAAACACGACGACACCGTGAGATACCCCACAATGCAACAGCCCCACAGTAACAAGAAGCTAGTAGAAACAAGTGCATCGCTTCTAGTAACAAGTGCCTTACTAGTAGTAACAAGAAAGCTAGTATGATCTTCGTCCAGACAAGGGCACAAAAAGCACAATGCTCACATGGCCGTGGGTCATGGCACAGAAAAAAACCGACTGGTTGATCTACGAAGATCAAGCTACGTGGACTGCTAGAACGACCCCCCCCCCGCTTCGGACTCATCCCCCGAGGTGGTCAGTACAGGGAACCCTGTACGACTTCCATGTCTTGGCCAAATTGCGGACGCGAAGGCACATGTTTCCGCTTCAAATCACGACCCCAGGCTTGAAACGGCTTGGGTGCGCACCTTTGCCCCCACCCACCCGCGTACCACGTACTGTACAGGACATGTGAGATGTATCATGCGAGGCCTGCAAGTGTGCCATGCTTCCTCCACCCTCCTTTGCTTCCTGGGCACAGTAACGTTAAGAAAAGGTTTATAGGTTCCTCATCCATTTACTCACTAGTGCACTCAAACAAAGAAAGGTAAACAGGTGGTTCCCACCTGGAGTGACATGTCTTCTTCTCCCAACTCTCAACAAAAAGCCTGGAAGAACACCATCTTGTGACCTTTGGACAGGAAAACAACACACACAAAGAAGCTACTAGGAACAAGAAGCTACCTGGGGCTCCTGGCCTTACTACTAGGAGCCATGGCACGCTACGAACGGGAACGGGGCTACTAGTAACAAGAAGCTACGAACGTAACAGGAAAAACACACACACCGCTTGGCGTTTGGTTGGGCTTCTCTTCGCTTCGTTCGGTGTCCGGGCATCGTGTCCCTCGCGGAGGTGTGCCAAGAGCTCAGGCATTCGCTCCTCCTGGAAGATGGGGGGCGCGTGCTGGTGAACTGCGCGTTACTAGTAAGAATGCTACTAGTAATGCCAGGAGCCCCGTTCGTAGCGTCTTTGCTCCTAGTAAGGCCAGGAGCTACTAGAAGCTTCAGGACCTTTTTGTGTTTCTTCGTTTCCACCTGTCCATCTTCGAAGAAACTGGTTGAGAGTCCAGTCTTCAGACCCTCCATGGGATCCGCTCCAGATCTTGAGATCTTTTGGGTGTCCGGATGTGTCACCTCGTTGTGGGCATAGAAGGACTGCACCTTTTGGAAGGGATTCATGACCTGGGCCGAAGCTGTGTCCGAAACATCCCGAATTTCGACATCATCCGTTGGTGAATCATATATATTCTCTCATGTTTGCAGGCTCAAGAAGCTTAGGAGCTTTCTGCGAAAAGGAACAAAGCACCGCAAAGGTTGCAACGTTGTGAACACCCCTGTGCTGGTGCCTAGTGGGGACGACTGGAAAAACCAAGATCTGACTACATGATTTTTCCCAGCCAAGTATACCTTAATGAACCTTCCAAACATGGACGAGGTTCCATGGGACATGCATGAAACCCTAGGACGTGGTTGTCGTCCATCATCCAGCGCATCGGCGATCCTTCGGAGCGCTTCGTACGACCAAACTGCTGCACCAGAGATGCCTAAGGATACAAACACATCATCTATATATGTGAATCCCACAAAAAATAGGTACTCAGATGGGTTTGTCAATCACCAACACCAATTGCTGCAACATAGACATCCAAGAGCCCACTATGCCGCAATGACATCCATTGGCCGGAAGTGTAGTCTAGAACTTCTCGAAAAGAGACCAAACTTAACCATACAAGATACTTAACACATCACCAACCCACCTGATCACATCAGATCACAAGATCGCATCAGATCGCCAACTACCACTCTGAAGATCGACAAATCATCAGCTCGTCGATCCTCCCTCAGCCCAGCTTTTTTGGCCTCGTCATTACTGTTCTTGAGTGCCTGACTTCGGTTCCAGGCCGTTTCGCCGGGTTAGAAGCCCACGACTGGTGGAGGCCATCGCTAGAAAGTATGGTTAGGATCCAATTCCCTTCTTACCTGCGACCAGGAACCGAGGCTCGTCAAGGGCCAGTTCATACATGGACTAGTCAGGGATCTGGGTCCACTGACCTTCCTTTTCGCTCTCTTTTTTTTGGGTTTCCATTTCAACTTTGGAAAAAAAACTCATCAGTCATCATATTCTGAGTGGCACATGTGGCATACCATCTGAATCATGAATCATGATCTTCTCTTCTATATTGCAAATTGTTTTGGGACGAACACCCAGAAACCAAACGAGCCCGCCTCCAGGACCTCCGAGCTCTCGGCTGCCACGACCTCCACACCTTTGCTTCGTCCAGAACGACGGAGGGATGGTGGAGGCGCATTTGACTTGAACTTTTCTTCTAGGACTAGTGAGACTCATCGCTTCTAGGTTGGAGGCCATCACCATTAGGTTGCAGGCCATCGCATCTAGGTTGGAGGTCATCGCTATTGGGTTGGAGGCCATTGCTTCTAGGTTGGAGGCCATCACCATTAGGTTGCAGGCTATCGCATCTAGGTTGGAGGCCATCACCATTAGGTTGCAGGCTATCGCATCTAGGTTGGAGGCCATCGCTATTGGGTTGGAGGCCATTGCTTCTAG